GTACGGCGGATGTGTCAGAAGGTTCCATTTCAATTTCCGAAGGGTTTCCATTGTTGTTTTGGCTGTATGGGGGCATGAATTGTCTTCAAGGAAGGCTACCCGCTTTCCACCTGTCTTCTGCTTGCATCAGACCTTTTCCTTCACATCTGTTGCCAGGAGGTCTGCGTAATAAGCTGCACTGACTGTTCTGGCATCTGTCAGAAAGTCTACATGGATAACCCCCTGCCAGTCCCAGAAGAACGTTGCCATCACTTTTCCTGCTGAATGGCTCCTCCGCACTCTCTTCGGTTTGGGAGAACTGGTATGCCGCCACTTGCGTAATGACTGCTGGGACTCAGGAATGAAACAGCGGACCCAAGTTTCATTGGTGGTCACTATAGACTTAAAAAAATACATCACATTCCTCTTCAAACTGCTGTAGGAGATGACTGGCAGCTTGCATGCCCACCATTTTGTTCACGTCTATCAAAGTATTAACATGAAAGCAGACCCTCAAGCACTGAATTCAATGCTAAGGATCAGTATGGCTTCCAGGCTACAATTTGTGAAATCCTGAGGCATGAGCTACATCATCACATGGCCTGCCTTGTTCTGACATTGTATTTACTTTACCAGGTTTATCACAATTTTGTAGGAACATTTTAACACTGTGAGACATTTCAGGTATTTACAATGTCCACAGCATAACCTACAGAAAGCTTCCTAGTGCCAATGCAAGGCACCACACTACTGCATAATCATGATCTGCATAGTGGCAGTCTGGGGTATGGCATAGTATGAAGGTAGTAGCTTACTATGAATGCTGGTATTCAGAAGACTACAGAGTTTCATAACCCAGACAACCACAACATGGCTCATCGCTGTGGCAACTTCAAATATTATAATCTTCACTGCAAGTAGTATTTTAAAAAGTAAAACTAAGATAAACTGAGCTTGCACAAAAACGTCTTGAGAAGACAAAAAAATACTGTGCTAGCCTAAGTGCAACTCCATTCAGTTTGCGGCATAATGAACTGGTCATGTGCCTATGAGACTTCAAGTGGCAACAAGAGCAAAGCTGTTACATTTAAAGAGAAGAAGTCTGATAATAAATATCAACTAATTAAACCAAGAGAAGTCCTTCTTTAGAAGCAGCAGCTGCTCAGCTTATCAATAAATTCACTGCCTTTTACAGACCCCAAAGGTCCATTACTGTGTTCAAATGAGCCTGCCACTCATCCGTATCCTCAGCCAGTCAAATTTTGTCCCCAATTACCCATTCTATCTCTTTAGAAGAACACGATATTAAACATACAAACCTTCAGAACAAACAAATAACTATCAGTTACTTTCACTGTCTTCTATTAGGAAGAATACGATGCCGCTGGGAAAACAAAGAAAATCTGACCTCATATTGTGGCATAACAGCAAGTAACTGGCTGTACAACCTGAAATACTTCTTACTTCTTACTCTGGAATACATTTTCCTTTCCTATTTATAGCAAGGAGAGCTCAGTCAGTATAGTAACGGGCTAGGGGATGGATGGCCAAGGTTTGATTCCCAAAAGAGGCAAGAGATTCAATTATCCTATCCAATGAAAATCATTTTATTTAAAAATAAGTACAAGTGTAAACAAGTACATTAAAATAAAAAAAAAATAAGAGTGAAATATTTGTTACTTTCATTTCATGTGCGCATCCTTACACTTCCAACATATTCATGCATGTTCCTCTGCTGAACTCAAATATGTCACATAAAAATTCACATTCATAATAATGGGCCTAATTTTTCCAGCAATTACATACTACTTTCAGAAACACAAGGTGATTAAAATAAATCTTGAATTACTTAAATTAGTAATGAAACAATTTGATAAAATTTCTGTTAATGAACTGCAAAGAAAGCATGCAGTGAAGTGTAAGAGTGTACTAAATAATAAGCAAATACAAGAAATATGTGAACTTACAATATATAGGAAATGTAATTAGCCCAGAAGGTGATGGACATCTGAAAATCAGATGCATACATTTATGCATATTAGTGAAATGATTTACACAAACTATGATCCAATAATGTGTAAGAATGCATATTTGAAATTATACAAAATACATTTTAAATAAATGGATAAATTTGGTGCTGAGGCACAGACATGGGTTAACAGACACACAAGAACAGAAGAACAGAACCTACACAGCAGAGAGTAAAAGGAAGCCCAAGAAAATGGTGAAAAGAGGATTTTGGCTGCCATATAGGCATTAAGTCACATAATGTATGCAGACCTGAAGAACACATCAAAAGCATTCTCATGGTAGAGCATGTTTATACAAAATAAGATGTGGCAAATTTAAACAATGGTACTACTTATAAAATACTAGCTATATTATAATAAGATTAAACTCAGGTGAGGGGCCAGAAAAGCTGGCTTCATGACTGAGCAGCAGTAATGCCATGTTAAAAAAAACATCATGGAAGTTTCTCAATTTTGCAAGCGCAATGGGCTCAGTATCACACCACATACAAATAAAACAAAAATCCTTGATGTCATATGTTTAGGCAGATACAGTATCTTTCATACAAGTCACAAGCAGAAGAGTTTGATCCTGGCTGGAATTTAGAGCAGGTATTTCCAAAACATAAATCACAACAGGTTGTGTATAAACAGCTATCTGCTTATTGAGCCTGATCACTGCTTTGCCAAGAATTCATTATTATCGGCACCAGAGAACCTCCAGAGTTCTGTATACAACATTCTCAGCATAAGCATTCCCCATACAGCATGATGATCTGGCACAGGGGGCAGCACGGTCACCGAGGATGAGGGGAAGCCATTAAAGAAGCCTCCTGTTAAAGCAGGATATTATTAATTTTTATTTGCTTATGATGAGCTGATCGATTCACAGTACAATATCAGCTTTATATGAACATAACAAGTCACTGTATTCTATTTTTACATGCAATCTACATTTACAACATCAACCAAACACCAGTACTGCACCAGACTGAGATCAAGAAGGAGCTAACTCTTTCTCCTAGGATTTCTTGAGTTCGTCCAATGTTAAACAGAACCCCTCAGCTGTGATAATGAGGACTATGACTGCCACAGGTAGAGACTGCATGCATCTAGACAACCCTACTATGGGCGAACTCATGACCCCAGTATTCACTCAACCTGTCAATGTATTAAACTTTGTTATGCTATGCTGAACTCAACTAGAAAGAGTGGGTCTAGTGACAGGCTTCTGTGAGTACAGCCTCTGGATTGGCCCACTTATTGTTTTTCATTAGATCTTAAATGAAAAAGGTGGAGATTGAAATATGTTCCATAAAAGATCTTACAAACTTCCATTCAACCCAAATTAAAAGAAAATAATGACCAATTTAAGTTCATAACGCTGTTCTAATGGCAGAACAAAATTGCATGAGAATACATAAGGACATGAAAATAGACAAATATGGCCTCTTTCATTCATTTGTGCTTATGATAAGTCAGAAGATTAACCTACACACAAACCACAGATTGTTACCTTTAAGGAAACATATCAGACCACATCAGCATATCAGTCTTTATCTTCAAAAACACATAATATACTACATCAATCAGTTGTGAATGACACATATTATACTATAATAGCACACTGGTCCTTGCCTTTCAAAGTCACACACTGCACTACATAAATTAACTCTGCCATTCACAAACAGAAAAATACTGGAAAGGCTAATCTGAGTACCCAGAACAAACAAATTAACTTAAAATATAAAGTTACAATTTAACTGAGACTAACCAAGAAAAACTATGTGAAGAAAAATAAAAGTATAAAAGTCTCAAGTGCCAAATTATATAACAAATTCAAACTAAATAAAAAACATAATTTCATAACACTTGATGAACTTACAAATGGAGAACATTTATATTTAAACAAATACTGTCAATTTCATACTCATGTCATTGTAAAAATCAAGTTGGATCCAGCCTAATGTACTATTATTTTACCTACATTTTTATGTACTTCCATATTTTAACAAATCTGTACTTACAGTCCAGATTAATTTGGCTGATAAGTGTTTGTCACCTGATTATGAGTGCTTAGGGTCAAAACATATAATGCATAAATACAAAAATGAGCACAAAGGTTTCTTAACTCTTTGACTGGCACAGGCGAATTTTTGCGCCCGGACGATGCCAGCCGTTCCCTGGCGTTGGCATGTTTTAGCGCTTTGATACACTCTTCCTTTCTTTGCTGTCTTGGCACTCATCAACCAAAGACATATTTTTGATAGTTTTTGTGCATGGTTGTAAAGAACCCTTGTTGACTTTGTGGGGGTCTATATTACTGTCAGAACCCTCCAAGAAGGAAGAGGTCAGAAAATATTTCACATTCATTCAGTTTCACCATGGCTTCTCGTAGCAAGTGTCGGAGTGTTCCTACAGACCAGCTGGAAAGTGTTGTGAACGAGATTTGTGCTGATGATGAAAGTGGCGATGAAATAGTGATTCCTGAAGTAGATGAAGTTGATAGTGATAATAATACAGTGATAGACAGTGATCCACAAGACAGTAATCATGAACCTTTAGCTACCACGAGTGCGGTGCCTGACACGCCCATCTCATGGACGTACGGAGACATTGTGCTAACAATAGTTCCATTTACTAGTAGTTCCGGGATCAAAACTGATATAACACATAAAATGCACCGCTTTTCATGGACTAAACTTTTTCTGGATGACAACGTAGTAAATCACATCACAACTGAAACCAATCGCTATGC